TAGCAAGGGACATCTAAAACATTACCAAAATGAAGGTACATGCTACCAAAAACAAGTAATGACTCCACTTTTCATTCTAATAGAGTGCAATTAAAGTTACTCCCAATCGGAAAGGATTTCATTCGTCTATATAATTTCTGCACACGCATAAATAAATGAATGACCACACTGAGGCAACTGTCACAATGATAAAATTGCAGTCTAGGTAACCATAATCTTCTCTCCTTGAAGAACAAACCACAACTTAACCATGTGCCCAAATGTTTGAATGCACCTCGACCACCCGTGCTTCCGCTGTCTGGTCTAACTGTTCCATCCGCGCAGAAAAAAATGTAACTTTGCATGGATTAAAAAAAAAAAAGAATTTTTTGCACCGTGTTCACTCCTGGCATGTGTTGATGCCTGTCAAGCAGTGGATAACACTGCATTTTTTCCTTGCCACCATTAGTTTGTGTAGCCAAAACAAAATAAATGACATCTCTGCAGGCTAATCAACTACGATTCCAAAGCAGGAGTGGTAAAACAATGAACTGAAAAGAGCTCTGGGACAATCAATGATGCAAAACGAACAAGCATATCTACTTGATTTCAAAAAATAGCGTGACGGCCCCATCACGCGCTCAGCAAACAGCTGATAACAAAGAGAGGACTGCAAGGCACGCACAATCAAACAAGACAGCAGCATTAAGCAAACGATGGCAGGTTGGCACTTCAGCCAGTCTTAGGGGAGATATCAGCAAAACACAACGCAGAAACTTATCATTCCTCATTGCTGCCAAAAACATAAACACCTCTGTCGCCGTTTGCAGTTTTTCTTGTGCCAATATCTCAAGAAGCCAACACTCGAAGAAATATAACTTAATTCTGGAAACCGATTTATAGTATTCGTGAGAAGTACAGAGATAAGAAGGTATTTAAAGCTGGTTTTACCACGGGACTGGCCTTGGGCTTATACCTTCTCAGAAAAATCGACGTCATTATTAACGCTTGGGCAACAGCCAACGTCGTTCGAAGTGAGGGAAATCTGACCTAAAACTTTCCTTGTGCAGTCAAGAAATGAAGACGGGGTGCAGCACCTTGTTAATGTGCTTAAAAAACATGTCCTCTTCTGAAGCTCAACGGTCAAGTGGCATCCGATTTGTGTGAGTGGTACACACCGGAAAGAGATGCAATACCTCTGTGCTTGATAATGGGCATCTGCGTGCCTATAAAAGAAACTTCAGCAAGTAAAAAAAAAAAAAGTTACATTAAGATATTGAAAGTGAAAGGTATCTGGTTTAATCGGGCTATACCCCCCAGAATGTCTCTACCACTGTGCAATAACTTGCACATGTGCCAACTACTTTTCCCTGCTCCCTCAGACTTGATAACTTAATGATGGGTAGGTGTGTTCTCACGAAATACAAATACAAGCTGGACTCCTGCTTCAAAGTTAAAGGGTATTCGAATGGCTACCATTTACAATGGGACAAAATGTGTAATCAGAATGGCTATCGTGAAGTTCAGACAGAAAGTCAACTATAGAATACAAAACTTGCCCGGTCTATCGACAGGAAAAGAGTGATATCTTTATAAGAGCTGCAAAACAAAACTATCACAGAGCTGAGTTGCAAGGTGAGCACAGTTATCCGTCCAACTGACCAGAGCAAGAAACTCATTGAATCAGACGGCAAACAGGATAAGCCAAACAGCTGAATACCACAACTAGCAGGGCAGGACTACAGCTCGCAAAGCAAGGGATACAGTAATTAAAATTGCTTACAGATTTTGCCTGAACAGTCTATTGGCCTCGAGATCGACCTAGAGGTAGCGCTACGGTCGCGCTATCATCATCATCAAAGCGGGGATAGGAGAACGGCCGCCCCATAGGCTCTCCACGTTCGCGCGCCAGGCGGTGTAGATTCTTGCGTTTATTTTGTCGCATACTATCGGTGGGAAAACAATTCTAGCGGAAAAGGATGCGGTACTGTTCGGTGCTTCAGTGAAGATCGAATTGTGTTGCCAGCGTGCGGCCTAAATTTATATAATCGCTTCTGTGGGTGCGTCGTCTGCTCTAAGCAGACGTTGGAAATCATGGATCACCACGACTGATGCCTGTCTCCGGCTGAACTTAAATATTTATGTTAAATATTTGTTTCTTTTAAAATAGATGTATCGGTTGATCAACGTGGGAATAAAAAAAAAACAAAAAAAAAACAATAAATTCCAACTCAGATAACATAATACTGGTACTGTGGGCTGTGAAATCGCAGCTTCTATGTTTTTTTTTTGTTTTTTTTTTTTTTACTTTTGGCTTTTGCAGTAATATAAATATTTAGAATGAAGATAAGTTAGCGCTGTATTGGAAATCACCATGCTATTGAGTTCCTCTGCCGTTTACTGTGCCATAGTGTGGGTAAGTTTTTTGGAGTCTGAAACAGTGGTCTGAACAAATCTACTGCGTTGCGATGAGGAGATTGTGTCTTTTCTAGTTAAGATCTGCAAACCGCACGGTTGGTAGGACAACTGAAGCAAGTGAAACAAACTGTTCTAATATATCCGCGGATGTCAAGAGGCTAATACTACAAATTTCTGGCTAAATAATCTTGTATTCAAACACAGTAGACTCTGCAACCCCAACAAACGACGCGCACCACGACACAGACAGCATCGGCCGCAGTGATACTCTTTTACTGATGAGGGCTAGCGACCTTCACGAGACTTTCCGATCACCCTCCGCCCTCACCTAACGTATATCGGGACTGGGCAGTTCATCGATTAACTTTCAGAGTATTCAAGGAATGCTTTAATTGCATTTTTTTTTGCCGGTTAATTGGAGTCTTGTGCTGGAGAAAGTCAACAAGGAGTAAAAAATGCCTGCTTTGATATTTTTGACGTCTTTATTTCTTTTGTGACACAGGCTTGCACGGTAAACCACTTCAGCGTGCTTGTCATTTCACCGAGGGTGATTATACTGTTTAAATGCAAACTTAAAAAATACTTCATTTTAAAAGGCTTCCCGTGCGTGTTCCTACTTATAAAGGACTCACAACGTGAAGTTTAGAATGGGAATGCAATATGCCATTTATGGCATAGTAGAACCAGTAAAAAATGTGCAGTTTTAGCGTCTTTCACGCAAGATGACCGGCGAAAAATCAACATACGGATTTATTGATTGATTAGTCTATTAAATGATAGCGATCAGTCGGGTTAATTTTCTAATCAAACTACAGACCCACTCAACACTCAATGCTTTATGAAAGCCACGGATTTTGCGAGATAACAAAAATACGCGGGACCAGCGATTGTATACAAACCAACACACTAAGATTATGGAAGCTTCCGACTTAATAATAATCGCTTTGCTGAATTTCTACGCATGGGAAACAATACAACACAACCCTTAGTAAGAAGAAACGGCAACAAAAACATAAAACATTTAATAAGAATGTCAAGCTCAGCCTGAAACGGGCTTGCGTCGTCGAGATCCAAGCTTCTGAGCCTGCGCCCGTAGCAGACGACGCACGGCGGTATCCCCGCTTTCGCGCGTTTCCAATTTCGGCCGCACGGTGGCGACACGGTTCGATCTCGAGGCGAATAGTCAGTTACAGGTTAAGAAAAGTTTTCGAGGGAAACGAGGCCTGGGGAGGAGGAAACAAACGGAATGCTGGAAGGAGGAAACCTTCTCTCTCCAGCATTCCGTCTGCTTCCTCCTTCCCAGTTTTCCTTCCCCTCGAAAACTGTTTTTATTAACCTTACTGTAGTGGTGGTTCTGTAAAAGTGCTCATAAAATTACTCATCACAAAAAAAAAAAAAAAGCGATACCTAATGTGTCACTCTGTGTCCTATGTCAATTTGACTGCAGTCAGGTGTGTGCAAGACAGAATCAGTACAAAGACAATGGACAACGGCAGCTATGTTCAGAAAGGCTGGTGGATAACATTGTTCGATAGGAATGCTTGGAGCCGACCTGAACCATGACCGCCTGTGATAAAAGGGGAAAAAAAAAATGAAATACTGGGGAGGAAAAACAGAAAAAAACAAGGCACAGAAGGAAGTTTTGAGCCCCACTCAGCTGGAGTGGATGTCCAGCATTGTCGACAGGTTCAATTACGTTATCGAAATTCCACCCACAAAACTTGTGAGTGGTCAGCAAAAACGCCCCAAGAGCTTTCCTACAAAAAAAAAACAAAAAAAAAACGGTACTTTTGACAAGCGAATTGTGCTCGTGATTATCAAATACCCGCAAGGTCGACGTTTTTAATCAATAAATAATAAAAAATAAATAAAAAAAACGCCAGTCGCGTACGTTGGCAAAGATTTGAGATAGTGTTCCTCAGCTAGGCCACGATTAGAAGCCAGGCAGCCACGGAAGTGGAAATCTCTACCGACCCGCACAATTAATCGCGACACACTTGAACGATAGGGAAAATCTAAAAAGGCCATTACCAGTGCAAAAGGTCAGAAACCTGTTTAGTCCACTCGTAATCATTAGTTAATTTCATCACGAATTAACCTCACGGTTTGTACGACACACACACACACACACATCGGTTGTATTCCATACGACATAACATTGGGGGGAATAATCAAAGCGCGAACAGCCAACGCCAATAGGGTGTTCAAAGCAATCGAACAGCAGTTCGAAATTAGCATCCATCTGCGAGCGAATTCGGGGGTGAAATCAGAACGCTCCATTTAATTATTGTCGCAGTCAGATCATAACCGAGATGGTGAATCGTCTTGGATCGGTGAACGCATCATCCAAGAAACGGGACATTTAACAAGCGGTCGCTCTAGTTCCGCTAACGTCGGAAATCGTAGCAAGTCTGATGTCACCACGTCCTACGCAGTCAAGACTCCAAAGCGGCCTCAAAGCAGTGCGGACCAAACACACAGTCGGCGACGTCAACAGGTTCGCGGACACAAACGGTGAAACAGTGCCGACAGTAGCCTAAGCCTAAATGCCGAAGTCGGCAGCGCAAAGCGGAAAAGAGAAAAATACAGCGCACATCACTCACCAGCACGACGAGTAGACACACTAAAATCCTGAGCACAGTCGTGACGCGTCGCCTGCCGGTATCCATTGTGACGGCTGCGATGCCGTACGAGATTTTAGAGTTCACAACAGCACGGGATAATTTAGAATGGGTCCGGGAATGTGACATCCTACGACGGGTGGTGTTGTGGCGGGGGTAGGGCGAGCTTGACTTGACGCCGCTAGGCTTGCTTGATCGCACGTTCTTCGCAGCAGCGTGGGGCCAACAGGTAAAAATTTAGGAGGTTCACAAAACAATAAAAAACAAAAAGCTAGGCTAGAAGTAGACTGAGCTATCGCATGATGGCCGTAGATCCCGCAAACACCCGAATGCACATCCAGTTAGCTCCCGCCGTACCCCACAGCGACCACAGCCTTCGCTGGCGCTTTGCGCGTTCTCTACCCTTGCGGCCGCTGGGAGCGCTGACGCATCGGTGACGTCTTATGTCACGTGCGTTTGATCACGTGGGAAACAGCCTGCGCGGCGGAGGGGCGGAGGCAGCGGCGGCGCGCCGGCGACCTTGAAGCTACCTCGTCGGTAGCTCTGTTGACTTCAGTCGCGCGTGGATTTTTTTCGGAATTTCTATTATTTTTTTATCATACTCTTTCGATCGCATCGTCTAATCACTTTTGCCGTCTTATTGACGGGCTGCGTATTGTCACAACTGCGCTTTCTGCGAAATGAATTGTTTCTCGGTCTTCACGAAGAAACAATTAAAATAATAGAAATTCCGTCTTCACGGAATTTTTTGTTTTTTACCGTTCTCCTTCGATTAATCCGTGGAATTTTTTTACCGCCTAATGGGCTGGCTGCTTATAGTCACACCTGTACTTGCTGCGGAATTAGTTCGTTTTTCCATCTGGAAAAAGCAGGAAATACACCCGATGTCAAACACCGCGCGGTTGTTTTTTTTTTTTTTTTTTTTTAGTTTTCAAGGGTTTGCATTAGCACTTATATCAACAAACGGCGTACCACAGGAAATTAAAACAAATAAAAATAGACGTCTTTTCGAATCACAGTTATTGTTCCAAGATGCGAATCTCCCTTGTGCATAAATTTCTTTATTTGCAGTCTAAACCTGACAGTTCCGAAGAGCAAGCACAATCTCGTCGTCTTTTCCGTAGAAGGGCTCCTGCTTCGACAGCCAGACATCATCATGCAACAGCGCACCGTCGAAAGCGTGCAACGACATGTCATTAAAGACGTCCGCGTATCGGAAATTGTTGACGATCGCGAACTCTCGAACCGCCGGTTTCACGCTCAACAGAAAAGAACACTTCTCGTCGAGAACACGGTCCAACTTATTAGTCCAGATCCTGTCGAAACTGTTCCCCAAGATAAGAATATTGTTCAGCGAAGTTTTAGTCCAGTTCGCCCACAGAAGGCTGTTGTACAATGGCGTTCCGCAGTGCGGCATGAAAAACAGAGTACGTTCTTTCACGCAGCGTTTTCCTTCTTCGTTTTGTTCCAGCACGTCAAATTCCAGGAAAGCGAGAACGCGACGCTCCAACGCCGTGAAAACCGGGTCGTACACAACCGCACTACTCGCCGATAGATAGCGGCGAATACAAATCAACAAAGCCAGCTGATAACGCGCGTTGACGCAACGCGAGAAGCTGCCGAGGCCGTAGCAAACCACGTGCATGACCGGGGAGTCCTTGTCACGGCAGAACGCCGCAGACTTGAAGAGAACATCTTGTAGGTTTTGCACGTACGCAGACCCTTCCAGGTCCGCTTCGGCTTCGGCGATCCGCCGTAGGATGTTGGCTTCGTCGGGTTCGTCTTCCGCTCCCGGCGTCCCCACCGCTGATGTTTGAAACGGAGCGCGTTTCGGTTTGCGCCGCTTGCCTTTCTTGACGACGGTGAATCCGTCGTTTGTGGTTGTGGCGCTCATGCTGCGAAGTAAATCTGTGGCTTATGATGCGAGGAGACATCTGTGAGGAGAGCCATCGAGAACTGTCGAAGAGCGAACGCCACAAAACTTTTCCTGAAGCGTGAGCGGAGCCATCTTGATGTGCAAATAGCAATCGGGCTGCCGCGCTTGGGACGAACCTTTAGTTTCGGTTTGAGTTTCTGTAAAAGGAAAGAACGTCTGAGCTCGATTTTGTTTACATCAATGTAATTTGAATTAAAAACATAATTCACACAGTTTGTAATTTTATTATAACGCTTGCATAAAAATGCCCAATGTTTGTTGATTTTATTTTATCAAAGAGAATCAATACCGGAGATTTTGGGAGGGTGAGTGATTTCGCATTAAAACCCCCTTGTAAAAGACACTGCGTCAATTGCTTCGCGAAAAATGGGATGTATATTTTTTAACCTAAATTTAAACATGAGCAGAAATCGAAACCGAAACTTTGGCTCTGTCCGGCAATATTGGCCTCGGACCACGGTTGCCGGAACTCCATCGGCGGTACTCTATCCGCATAGCTTGACTGTTTAAAACTGAGGTTACCGCCCAATAGCAGTAACCTCAGTCCTATACAGGCTAGTTATGCGGATAATAAAAACAAGAACAGAAGACTGGGAAGAAAATGGAGATTTTAGAAGAACTCCAAAACAGTTTCCGAAGGGACAGAAGACTTGAAGATAACCTTTTTGTCGTCACTCAGAGTATAAAAATTGCGAATACAAATGGTAGACCATTATGGGTAGCATTTTTAGACATTAAGGGGGCATATGACAGTGTGAGTTTGGAAAAGCAATAGGCACTGCTGAGGGGCTATGACTTAGATGCAGATCTGGTAAGGTTTTTACGATAGGTATACACGAATAAGGTCGTCATAACATAGGAAGCAGAAACTACCGAACCAGCAGCAATAAAAAGAGGGCTTAGGCAGAGCTGCCCACTGTCACCCCTGCTCTTTATGATATACTTGAGTGCAATGGAAAAGAGATTAAGACAGTGCAATTTGGGCTTTGATATGACTTATATGGAGGGAGGGAGAAAAGTAAAACATGTTAAACACGGACTTATGTATGCGGACCATATGGTAGATACTCTTAGCAGATAGCCATGACATAATGCAAGAGCTTATGGGAATATGCAGGAGGGAGGGTGACAGACCTGGCCTAAACTTCAGTCGCGAGAAGTCCGGGGGTAATGGTTTTTAAAAGGGACAAAAGGGATCCCCTGAAAATACAAAACTTAGTAATAGACTTTGTAGACGCATACATTTTTGGGGGTTTGAATGAACGAGGGAAGGAAATACTCGGGAGAGCAAGAGGGAAACACACTTTAAAAGAGGAAAAGAAACTCGGTAATTGTGAAACACAGAGCGCTGTGGAATTACAACAGGTATGAAGGGGGAATCGCGGTGGCCGAGTGGGCGAGCGCACACCAGCTCGGAGCACGTGGAGCGAAAGCTCCGCGCTGCAGAACCCAGTATTCTTGGTTCAATCCCCACCCCTGCTCGTTTCGATCTGGGTGAGCATCATATACCGGCGTGCGGTCGTGTAGCACTACTGCGTGATGCACGTTAAAGACCCCAGGCTAGCGGTTGTACTGCACTGGCTAAATTTCTCACCTACAGCTGGGAGACTCGTCGCCCGTTGAGGCAGACCAAGTTCTAGGCTGCATAAACATACACACAACCCAATTTTTCGCAACAGGTATGAAGTAGTGAGGGGTGTATGGAAGGGAGTTATGGTACCAGGTCCAACGTTCGGTAATGCGGTACTGTGCCTGAGATCTGAGGTGCGGTCAAGTTTAGAGATCCGACAGAAAAGCGTGGACAAACTTGCATTGGGAGCGCATGGGAGCACCTCTAATGAGGGGGTACCGCGGGGGATATGGGCTGGACATCATTTGAGGCTAGGGAAGCTATCAGTAAACCGAAATACGAACGGAGGCTAGACGAAATGGAAAACTCCTGGTGGGCAGGGAAGGTGTACTTATACAAGAAGAGTTTGAACACAAAATGGACACATCGAACACGAAAACTAAACTTAAGTACCGACAGACTGGTGAAGGCGCTGAGCAGAACACCACGGTGGAAAGGGAGATAAAGGAGACCGAAAGGAAAATGTGAGAGGATAGGACGCAGACTAAATCAGCGATATACAGATCGCGTAAACGGGAAATAAGTAAAGAGCAGCTCTCACTTGATAACTCACTGGAGAGTTCTCTGTTGATTGAGGCTAGGACGGGGGTTTTGAGAACTTAGACACATAGGGCCAAATTTTCGGATACTGACGCATGGTGTGCTTGCTATATGCCACAGTGAGGAAGAAGCGATATACCATTTGGTTATAAATTGCACAGGACTTCGTTCCACCCTTCCGGGGGGGATGAGGACAGACTTGGCAGGAGCGCGGGATTTCGTTGAAGGGAGCGAGAGGATAGAGGAAGAATAATTACAATAACAAAGAGAACGTTAGAAGATTGGAGGAAAAGATCTGTTGGGGAGTGGTGATTGGTGAAGGCGAGCGGGTTGAACATGAATACATAAAATTGAAAGAATAAAACACAGAGGACAAGCACAGGACAACCACTTTCTTTCATTCAAAGACCTGTGCTTGTCCTCTGTGTTTTATTCTTTCAATTTTATGAGTGGTGATATTTCACAAAATTGTGAGGTTAGGTGTACGACCCAAGGCGGAAGGTGTGTGCACTAGGCTTCCAGAGGCACCTCCGCCGTACGCATCGTTGTTTTTAAGAATAAATATATAGATATATATTTTGGCAATACTGAGGGTTTAGGCCTCATTATGCCTTTGCTGCTACGTAGATATATATATGTTGTTTACTTTCTTTATATGGCAACTAATGCAAGTTGTGCTGTTATCAACTGTGGGGGCAGAGGCCCAGTCAGGCAGAAAAGCCTTTTGTCTCTACCTCCCTAGCGGGCTTGACCCGTGAGAAACAAAAATAAACTTCAAACAAGAAAATAAATTTAGTTTAAAAGGAGGAGCTAAACTAGGCTAGGTGGCGCTAGCTACCACCCGATATGAAGGGTACAGCCGATAGCCACTCATCCATCCATCCAGAACAAGGCTATCACGTGTAACAAGATGCCACGTGATCCTCTACGCAACGAGCACCGGGGTGCTCCGGCGATTTCTTCATGGTCCCCGATTCGCTTGAAATTTTGCTAAACTTGCCACACAACATCGCTAAAATGGTTTCCCAAATATTAGGTCAAAATATTTTTTTCCCCAAAGTTCTTAAATTTACAATTTTGGTCCTCATCGTGTTTTTCAAACTGAAAGTCTCTACTGGCAACAACAAAAAGGTGACGTCAGTGGAAGGCAAGGGTTCAGTCTTTGGACTGTAGAATTTGTTCCCAACTGATTGGAGGCAGTTTCATGGTGTCAAATGAACGCTGTGGAAGCTCGTTCCAGTACCTGCGCTCCAGCACAGAACAAATTATTGACATATTCTATTTTTTAGGCTGCTTGCTCGACTGGCAAGCTTGCCCACCACTGACGTCACGGCACTGAAAAGTGCGGGTATATTTGAATGTTGGTTTTTGCATCATTTTCATTTGCCGATTTCACGATAACTATTATGAATTTCGCGATACTAAATAGCATACCGGATAGGGTAAAGGCCGGGGAGTCAGAAAATATAGTTAGTTGAGGTAGCTCAAAAAATCGCTGGAGTACCCCTTTCATCACGTTTTGGTGTCTACGACATTCGACGACGTCTGAACAATTACGGCATAAGTCTGCGCACGTTGTGTCCGTAGTGTGGACGAAACCCCGAGAGACACTTGGAATGCATGTGCTGGTACGGGTAATATAAATAAATGGAGGAGGAAGCATAAAAAAAAAAAAAAAAACAAGGACGGATTTGTTTTTTTTTATGTTTTTGTCTTTTATGTTCTTTCTTTAATTTATATTCCGAGAGACAATAATCACAAACGGTGAGACGACGACGGCGGTTGTGATGCGGGGGGCGGCGGGACAGTTCCCATAAAAGCGCGCTTCGCAGGCGCGCCAAGAGGAAACGTTGATGGCGTCACCTGTTACGGTTTCCGGGAGAAATAAAACCAAGCAAAGGGGGTGCAATGGTGATGACATTTAGCTCAATGTTGGCTACGCCCACGCCTTAGCCTTGACTGGGCTGTTGGTTGCGCCTCAATTCGCCCGCACGAGTCCGCCGATTTCGGCAGCTTGGCGAGTTGCAAAGTAGAACTAGGCCATAGTATTTGAGGTGCGGTCTTCCTAGATAATACTGAAGAGGACTGCATTGTTTTTTTTTTTTTTTGTTTTTAAAAAAAACATGAAACGGAGTTTGCTTTAACACCATTTTTTTTTTCATGTTCGGGCTAAGGGCAATTCGCCCTTAGCCCGATCATGTCCACTCACATGATGATTATGATGATTAACCTTAATTTCATAAAGGTGGCGCATGGCGCCATTTGTGGTAAGGGAAACATGGGGAAGAAAAGTTCACATTCGGCGGTGCACTCCTGTTGAGAGCGCAAGCTACCACAGGGAGTGCAGCGTCTCCCTGGCCCGTGTCTCGTTACCCGGTGCGATCCAGGCCTGTAAAGTGTGGATGCGCGGCACTGATCTCTATGACAACTGCTGAGTTCATCCCTGCTCCGGACGGCCATCTTGCATGCGGCGAAATCGCGCATTATAGTTAAAGATTTTTTTTATATAGAAAGCAACTTTGAGGCAATGTTATTCATTAGGAAGATCAATCACAAAAACATCATATACATTTCTTTCATGAATACACAGTTTTTCATCTGCATAGATGCCAACTAACATAGCCACTCCACGCTATTACAGAACGCATTGTCAGCTCGCATCCTACCCGCTCCTCCACGGGAGAGCGCCCGCGAGGTGGCGCCACGAAAAACATCTCGTCGATTGTGTCGTTCATGCGATCATGTTCATAGCGAGGCTTCCAAAGTCATGCTGCATCACGTGATGCTTTTCATGCGACACGGCACGTCACGAAACCACGTTATCACGTGACACTGATGACGTCACGATGATGACGACACTTTCCTATCACTTTTTTTGTGTCACTCTTTTATGTCGGTCAAGCCCTTTGTATA